GGGCCAAGCCCGCACGGTTTTACTCTTGGGTGTCCTCCCCAAAAGGCCTCGTACTACGTGGACTAGGTGGACACTAATATGCAAGGGTTCCTTCCCTTTTACAACTGATGTGGTACTTGGATGTCTCATAAAATGAGCCAACCGAGGGAAGATCGGGTGCCGGAAGATCGGGTGCCGGACCTGGCTTAGCCTGGTACAAAGTCAAGAAATAATCCCTGGCAATGCAACAGAGCCCCATGTCACCAAAAACCCAGTTGGCATTATCGTCTTTCAAATCCACGGGTATTTCTATCCCCCTCAGCCACTTATTGCGCCCTAGATTTATGGAACCATAGGGTATGCTCTTGCCAAAGAGTGCTCTCCAATTTCTTGTGAACCTATTATTCCAAATCCATTGAATCGGTCGTGCCCGCTCTTGTTGTTCACCTCAAAATCTTGGAGTATTCGGATCATAGCCCTTTTATGATAGAGGATGTGGTTGAAGGTCATTTTATTCCAGTTTTGGAGGTCACTACTTAAGACTCGAGTAGCCAGTCGAAAGCTCTCGCCAAGTTGCCTTGTAGATGAAAGAACACGACTAAAGTCTTCATGGGCCATCCATGCAGCAAGAAAACAGAATGGCTTATTACTTTGATTTCCTAGCCCGTTCAAGTCACTCAACAAGATAATCGGTCTGTGGTCAGAGCAAATTTGCTCCAAGTGCCTCGTTATGGACTATGGGAGTTTGGTAAGCCATTTTTGATTTCATAATGCTCTATCCAGCTGTGGAGAGAGAAAACCCCTCCGCCATGTGAAGTGTAGACTAGATAAATTTATCTCCACAAGAACACTCTCGTCAATGCAATTCATGAACAGTCTTGCACAAGCATCTTGATATAGCGTACCACCTCAATATTGAATTGAAGTCGCCAATCAACACCCAGGAAATTGAGATTCGTTTAGAGATGCATCAAATCTCATCCCATCAATGTTGAGGCAAGGCAACATTAGGGCTTCCATAAACTATAGAGACCTCCACTGTACCTCCATTGCCACTCAGTTTGGTGCAAAGAACATGGATAATTTGCTCCCAGTTAGAAATGACGGTCACGAAAAGCTGCTAAAAATTCCAATTGACCCATATTCCATCTGAGAAACCAGTAGCATCCATAATGAGAGATCCATCAAAACATGTGCCACAGAAGACTCTCCTACCAGTATCTCCACTAATATGTGGTTCAACAATAATAACCATATCCAATCGAGAAGGACCCAAGAAATTTCTCAAATGAACTAAAAACTATAGCTACCTGCCGTCTGGAAATTCCAAGCTAATATATTTAACATAACAAAGATTAAAAGTACACAATAAGAGGGGACTCCCCTGCAGGGTGAGGCTTGGTTACTGCAAAGATCTGCTGGAAGGAGGCTTCCCTCCTTTCTTTGAACTCATTGGAGCTTTCTTATTCTTATTATTGCTCTGATTGGCACTTCCACTCGGTTGACAGTTTTCAATTGAGAAGTAGTGGTGGGTTTCATTGTGGAACCCAGCTTGACTGCACCTTACCTGAGTTTGTAGCTCCCTTAACTACAAGGTCTTCCGGGGTATGAGCCACACCCTTTGTTTGACGAACCGTGATGTCCACAAGCTCTTTCCCATGGGTCTCCTTGGGTGGAGCTTGGGTCACAGGCATTTCACTTCTTAGCTGGACAAAAGAAGAAGGGCATGTGCATTCTCCTCCCTTAGTTTGCATGCTGGATCCTGGGTTGTGACTCCTCTTGGAGTAGGGGCTTCCTTACTTGAGGTGGGCTTGGTTTCCATCTTTATTGTCTCATCCTCATCTAATGTCGTGAAATGAGAACCTGTAGCAAACACTGAATCTTTTGGAGGAAGGTTCACGCCAACAGTGGTTTATGTGGTTTAAGGCTTTGCCTAGGGTTTCTTCTATTTGTTATGGGACCCCAACTTAGCCATCACCTACTCACCATATATACTTTTCTGCTCGGCCTTTTCTTTCGTCGATGGTGACTCATTAGCCGAAGGATTTGTCTCCATTTTGAAGAGGGTTGGGCAAGTCAGCTTCACATAACCATAATGCCCACATTCTGTGCAAATGTGGTGAGCCCTCAAACTTCATATAGTACGTGATCCCTTCAATTTTGTACCGAGAGAGTAATGGTTTTGTCAAGTCTACCTCAACACAAACTCGGGCAAAGCGCCCCTGGTCACATGTTTGAGTGGCTCTGTCGACATGGAATGGCCGACCAATACGAGTAGCAATTCTTTTAACATCCTCTTTGTTGATGAATTCCCTAGAAGCCCTTCAGGCTCTCCAAACCATAGTCAAAGCTACCTCAACTAGCTTTGGGTTGAAATTCTTTCTCCATGATCTCACGGTGAGGTGATACTCTCCAATTATCCATGTGCCTCCTATAGTTGTTTGTTCATAGTCAAACTGGCTCATAAAGTGAAAAGTATAGAAACCATATGAGAGGCTCGAAATTTAGAGCATACCACACTTCGCCCATAGCAATTCGAGTCTCCGAGAAAGGATGGGGAATGGGAACGTTCGTCCCAGAACTTTAACGATAAGAGCTGAACGCCACTCCCCGTCTCCATCTTTGTTTTCTATGGCTAAATGGGATTGTCGGACAACATGGATCATCATCCTCCGTAATCTCGTCATTTAGGTTGTCTTCTCGGATGGCGGTTGCCACATCCTTGAAGTATGACTTCGCAACATACCACTCGTCCTCGGCTGGGAGATCGCTAAACAACTTCTACGCCCCCACCCCAGGTAGAACTTTCTTCCCCATCTCTTGGTGATGTATTCACCACAACCTTTATATTCATCGTGTTATCATTCATCGGTTTCATCCGAAACAGAGGGTTGTTGCACATAGGTTTCGCCCGCTTCTTGGGATGCTGAGTCTCCATGTTGGCCTTTGCATTAGAAGAGGACGTCGTAGAGGGAGGCTGACGAACGCACGTGCTGAAATCCTGCTGCTCGATAGCGAAGGGACTCACCCCAGGCTCAGGCTCGATCATCTGTGGCTAGAGGGAAAATCGCCAGGTAAGCGTAGCTCCGAGAAAATAAGAGCTAAGGTTTCCTCCGAAGAAAAACAATTTAATGTCAAATGTTATGTGACCTTAAAATTTTATTCACCTATACTTTCTACTATTTTTTGTGTGTGGAGAAGATTGGTGCAAGGTGACATTCAAATGAACTACACTAATCATTTAGTTTTTTTCTCACAACATCATTAAAGTATGACCTATCTGTAATATTCCAAGTATCGAGAGAGTTAAACAAGTTCTCCTCCACCATGCCAAGGATATGTAAGAAGCTTTCGGATCTCTACTAGTGATGTCTAGTGCAGATGTGACACGCATACATAATGTTAGTGAGGTATATGTCGAGAAATCTATTGGCTTCGCGTCTACAATGCGCCATTGCATCTACTCCCTTTGTTGAAGAGTATAAGACAAGGCTATATCAATGTATGGCAGGACAATAATCATTCAGATATTGATTTTTGTTGAGTCACTTGACACACTGAAGGACTTAATCATTCTCTTGGAGTTGCTTAACTCATAGATCCATTAAATAACGCCTCAAGACTTCTAGGCAGAAAAATGCAAGATGATCAACTACATTAACCCATTCCAAAATGTTTACCTCAGTATGAAAAGCATTGATACACAAATTTGCTTGCTACAAGACTAAACTACATCTTCAAAACGATCCAATATTATGGCTCATTCGCAATGCTTTCAACCCTCTTACCTATTAACGGGCATAGAGAACTTAAAATCCAAAAAGAAAACATGTGCATTTTACTTTGCTTTCAAGAAGGAAATTGCTCATCATTTTAAAGAAGCTAACAAATACTCAAATAGTATGCGTACGATGAAATGCAACTTATTTATGCTATGAAGGGAGACTCAAATGCCCCGACTCTAGGCGTGGTGTTTATGACCATTCAACGTGACTGAAAGAGCGATTCTTTCATTCATGTTAACATAAAATGAATTGTTAGCCTTAAACAGGTTCTGTAAATAAAAAGGAGACAATTGTTAAGACTTAAAAAAAGGATCGCAGTTTCAGTTGAGTCTTAACTTGCACATGGTGGTGATGCAATAGCTTGTTCTTTGGTGGATCAAACTCTAATGATGCCATGAGAGCTACAACCTCCTATTACCCTTAAGATTTCAACACTCAATTAACTAAATGCAATGCATCTGAGTGTTCTAAATTAAGAATAACCCATCAAAAGTTTTCGTTAGCAACCTCCCAAGAAAATTGAAATCTCCACTAATTGGACGTCAGAAAAGGACAATTTGAATGGAACCAAACAAATAATTAAAGAAAATAATAATAATAAAAGAAGAACATTTGGGACAAAAAAGGTAATGTCATATTAGGAGAACCATTAAAAACTTTGATGGTCATAATCCAAATTTCCTTCCCAAACAATTAATTTTATTTAAAGAACTCTCTGTACTCTTCCTAACTAAAATAAAAATCCCAATTTCCATATTCGACCCCAACAAATCAAGTTATTTCCTTATAGGAGACGTCAGAAAGAAAGAGAAGAGGAAGGCCTTGAAGTTTCAATCGAAACAACCAAAAGGGGAATTCAAACAATCTCATTCCAATGGGAAACCGCACAATCTCTCTTACAGTCTGGAATCAAATCCCCTTCCCATTCAATCTCAGTATCCTAGTAAAGTATCCAACTTTGTTTATTTAATTGGCTACTAAAACGTTATTTGCACAGCCAGAGCAATCAGCCAAGAGTCGGGATTCAACAGAAAGCGACCGCCTTTCGGCTCCATTCCAATGTATATAGCCGTGATCCCAAGTCCCAACTAGGTCCAGTTTGCTTTTGTCGAATTCGTTCATTTTTCTAGAGAGAGATTGAAATGGGGAGGTTTTGGGTTTGGTCATGGAGGAGAAGGTAGATAGAAATAGAGAGAGGCAGTGGAGACAATAATGGAAGACTAAGTGCCTGGATCAATGGGAACAAGCGCTAGCTTGTCACTGAGATTGGGACATGCCTTCTTCTCGACTGCTTCGCTTCTGTTCATGTGCCTGCACATCGATTTCTACAACTATACTGCTTTCAGGTATCCCTCCTGTCTTTCAATTCCCCCTCCCAATTATGGGTTTTGTTGTCTTTAATTCATTTGTCAGAACTCAAAATTCCCATGGAACTATAGGGGGGCAGGAAGTAAGCAATTTCTACGAGTCTTCAGAGAATATCGTAGGAAGTATCGACCGTGTATTACTGTCATAGTTGAGCCGAGGATTAGCGGGGACAAGGCCGAGAAAGTGGTCCAAAGTCTGGGTTATGATAAATATTTGGTTGTTGATGCGGCTGGCTATACGGGGGCATCTGGGTAGCGTGGGACTCGAACCTGGTTACTATCGATGAAGTTGACCGCTCCATGCAATTTCTCCATGTTAAAGTGGTGTCGGAGAATAAAAGTTGGTTCTTAACAGCTGTGTACGCCAATCCAGCCCTGATACAAAGAAGGGAATTATGGCAGGCGATTAGAGTGTTGGCGGAGGACATGGTGGAACCGTGGCTGTTGCTGGGGGATTTTAACTCCATCCTCCAGCCTGCGGATAAATTGGGTGGTGCTCCTTTCAACGCGTCTAGAGCTCGTGAGTTTCAAGACTGTGTGCTGGATGCTGGTTTAGTTGATCTGGACTTTACAGGGCCGCCATATACCTGGTTTAATGGGGGTATCAAGGAGAGGCTAGATAGAGGACTCGCCAATTCTGCTTGGTTGGGAGTGTTCCCTGAAACTGTTGTTTTGACACATCCCGAAGGTTAAGAGTGATCACAGCCCCATTCTGATCACTTTAAATCTAGATTTCCGTGCCCCGGGGCCAAAGCCGTTCAAATTCCTGGCTGCTTGGCTTATACATGAAGGCTTCAATGACATGGCGGCCGCTGCCTGGGCTCGAGGGGTCGATCTTTGCAGTGCTATTTCTGAGTTCGCTAAAGATGCACAACGTTGGAATCTTTACACCTTTGGGAATATCTTGAGAAAGAAGAATCTCCTACTTGCGCGCATTGAACACCTGGAAATGCGGGTTACGGGAGGGATGGAGCCTGTCGCTTTGCAGCAAGCTAGGGAAGAGCTTGAAGTTATTTTATTACAAGAGGAGCTCTTATGGGCTCAGAAGTCGAGATTAGAGTGGGTGATCTCGGGGGATAGGAACACCAAGTATTTTCACGCTAGGAATGTGGCTAGAAGGCTTCGAAATAGAGTCTCATCTTTGAAGAATGGGAGGGAGTTTGGGTAGAAGATCAAACCCTTCTTCTTGAAATGGCTATAATCTATTTTTCGGCGCTTTACACTGATGATGGAGGACCGCTTGCTGACCTGCCCGTAGCGTTCCGCGAAGTTCCTAATGCTTTGTGGCTGCCTCTACAGAAACAATTTTCTGAAGAGGAGGTGTATCAAGCGATCAAGTCTATGGGGGCACTTAAAGCGCCGGGCAAAGATGGCCTCAAGCCTTTGTTTTACCAGAGATGTTGGGACATAGTCGGTCAGGCAGTTGTGGAGTTTGTGCAAGGCTGCTGGAGGGAACCAGAACGAGTCAAGGAAGTTAATGCCACTATTGTAGCTCTGATCCCGAAGATTCCACGACCGACGACTATCGAGCAGTACCGACCGATTAGTCTCTGCAATGTGGCTTACAAGGCGATCACGAAATGTTTAGCTGAGAAACTGAAGCCGCTTATGACCCAACTGGTACATGAGACCCAGACGAGTTTCGTCCTGGGGCGGCAAATCACTGACAATATTTGTATTTTGCAGGAAGTTGTTCATTCTATGAGAGCTAAGACGGGAAAAGTCGGGTAGATGACTCTAAAATTTGATTTGGCCAAAGCATACGATCGTATCAAGTGGAGCTTCGTTCGTGATACTCTGGTTGCTGCGAAAGTCCCCCAGGGATTCATCGAGCTAACAATGAGCTGCATCACCACCGCTAACATGCAGATTCAGTGGAATGGCGGGTTAACAGATGAATTTAGACCATCGAGGGGTCTACGACAAGGATGCCCTCTTTCCCCGTACATATTTATGTTAAGCATGGAGCGTCTTGCTCAACTGGTCGAGGCTGCAGTAGCAAGAGGAGATTGGAAGCCAATCCAATTATCGTAGAGGGGACCACTGCTGTCATACTTGTTCTTTGCTGATGATCTAATTTTTTTGGTGTGTCCTCTATGGATTAGGTTCAAGTGATCTCTTAATGCCTTCAAGAGTTTGGAGCTACCTATGGTCAACAAGTAAGCCGGCCAAAATCGCGAGTCTTCTTCTCCCAGAATGTTACAGCGGCGGATGCTGCGAGGTTAAGTGTTGCTCTAGACATACCAGAAACAAAGAACTTGGTTCGTTATCTGGGGGTCCCCGTGATTCATGATCGCATTACCAAGGCCACGTACACTGAACTTATTGATCGCATCGATGCCAGGCTTGCGGGGTGGCGAATTAAATCACTATCTCTGGCTGGTCGGATTACACTTGCTCAATCCGTCTAATTATCACTTCCAGCATACACGATGCAGACAGCTTTTCTGTCGGCCTCGGTTCGAGAATATATTGACAAGAAGATAAGAGGCTTTATATGGGGAAGCTCGGAGCTGGGAAGGAAAATTCACTTGGTGGATTGGGATACTATGTGCAAGCCGAAGGAAGAGGGGGGCTTGGGAGTTCGCGATGCAACGAGAATGAATGAAGCTTTTATGATTAAGATTGCATGGAGACTGTTGACGAAGAAGGACAGCCTGTGGGCGCAAGTTATTCGAGGGAAATCTCTACGCAAAACTGAGGCAGGATGGGTCCCAAGAGTGACGTGAAGATTATCTAATCTTTGGAGAAGGGTGATTCGTGTTCTACATTACATCCCAGAAGGCTCTATGTGGAATATCAATAGCTGCAAGCAAACTCTGTTCTGGACCGATCGTTGGCTTCAAGATGGGCCGCCGCTAGCTAGCTTTGCGATAAACCTCACCGATGCAGCAAGAGGAATTATGGTGGCGGAAATGGTCTTGAATGGCAGCTGGAATGAGGCCTTTGCTCGTGCGTTCCTCCCCGAGGATATGGTGCAACAACTATTGCTACATCCAGTCCCGCAAGGCGCCGAGCCAGATGTGCCTATTTGGAGGCTCTCCTCCTCGGGGCGTTTTACGATGAAGACCGCTTATGAATTAACGAGAGGAGAAGACGATCATCACCACCACCCCATTTGGAAGATAGCATGGCAGGTTGAAGGGCTCCAAAGAACACGAACGTTCTTTTGGTTAGCCTTGCATCAGCATCTCCTCACGAATGTCGAAAGATGCAGGCGCCACCTTGCTCAGTCGGACGCGTGTCAAATCTATGGAGGAGGTCCAGAGACGGTTCTTCATGTTATCAGATATTGCCCATTCGCCAGGGCTGCCTGGTCGGAGTTACTTTTGGGCGAGCCCGATGAAGCATTTTTTGAACCCGATTTGCAAAAGTGGGCTCTACATTATTTGGCCGGCTATGGCAAGGTAATATCCCCACCAGTTTTTGCTACTTTCTGCTGGCAATTATGGAAGAACAGGAATTCGTGGGTATTTGAGGAAGAGTTAATACCAGCAGCTCACATGGCTCAAAGGGTGCGCCACCTGACAGCTCAAGTTAATACCAACCTCACTAATGCTGGGCGGGTTACAGGAGGGAGACCGGAGCGGGATACTAGGATGATCGGCTGGCAAGCCCCGACCCAGGGGTGGGCATGCTTAAACACGGATGGATCGGTGATGCTTAGTCAAGGAAGTGCAACAGTGGGAGGAGTGCTCCGGAGTGATGAAGGCCGCTTTGTGCGAGGTTTTATGATGAACCTTGATGGTGGATCAATAACTCATGCGGAATTAGCTGGCATCAACTATGGCTTAAGGCTGGCGTGGGACGAAGGAGTGCGGAAGCTTATTGTTCAGACAGACTCGGCTGAAGCTATTGCTTTGCTTCAAGGTGATCAGACTCTTCATCCCCACCATACGCTGGTAAACTCGATCAGGCGGAAGCTGAACCAGCAGTGGGAGGTTCATATCATGCATGTGTTCAGGGAAGGCAACTATGTTGCTGATTACTTAGCTTCGGTAGGACATTCTATTCCTGTGGGGATCCAGATTGTGGACATCCCTAGCTCTATGCTAAATCACTGGCTGTACTTTGATCTGCTCGGGTTACAAAAACCTCGTACCATTAATATCTAAGGGCTGAGCGCCCCTCTGCGCTCGCGTTTTTACCCAAAAAAAAAAAAGAACTCAAAATTCTCTATTGGGGTTCTGGTGAAAGTTGTCAAACTTTTCTGATTTTCAGTTTCCCCCTTCTTTTTGAGACCCTCTTCTCTCTGCCACTCCATATAATCATTCATCACTGAATTCTTCTATGTACCCTGATCATGGTTGTAAGAAATCGTTAGGTAGGAGGAATTGTTGCTGATGAGTTGGGATGGTTTGGATGATGGATTTATGAAATGAACCAATTTGACTCAATTGTCCCACAAAAAATCATTGTTTTACTGTCACAAGTACATGCCCCTTTTCCGTCTAGTCAAAATGATGCAAAACGGTGCAATTCAAATTGCCTTATCCCAATTTTTGCATCCTCATTTCGTGTTGTCAAACAAGCTTATTTAACCAAACTGCTTTATTTTGAAGCAATTGGGCCAAATTACCTCAATCTAATTCCATCATCCAACCCATTGGAAATACATGGGTTTTTTTAATATGTGTCTCCCTTCTCATATCGATACGAAATTCATGTATTCATGGGCTACGAAATTGGTTGTTTCATGTTGCTTCTTATAAATTTTAGGGGTACTTTTTTTTTTTATCAACAACGATTATTTAAAATGGACTTTATTCTAAAACCAATACTGAATTGTTGATCTTTCAAATCAAACACTCTAATCTACACTCTTAACGATCTTAATCTCACCACATGAATTTTGCAATCCATGTATTCTACCATCTCTATAGCAACAAAGGTCCCATGATTGATCTTGGTAACTTACTGTTTTACTGATGGTAAAAAAAACAACAGCTACTTGGTGACAGTAATGGGACTAATGATCCCATGGAGCCTAACACTAGTAATGGTGGATGCATACTCTGTCTTCATCAAATACCTGCCTCACCAGCCAAGGATTTTGTTGGTCATCATAGCCGGAGATTGGGTAACACAAATTTTTCCTTGCTCTGTTTTTGGTTTTGCAACGGAAACTTGTCGTTGCTCTTTGTATGCATCGAAAGTTCACAACCTTGGTAATATGCAGGTTTTGTCATTTCTGTCGCTGGCGGCGGCCTGCGCGACAGCAAGCGTCACAGACCTGTTGGTGGACGCAGGTGGCTCGTTCTGCCCGACCAAGTCGTGCAGCAGGTTTCAGCTGTCGGCGACCATGGCGTTCTTGTCTTGGTTCCTCTCTTTCGCTTCTTCTCTCTTCAACCTCTGGCTTCTTCCTTCTTTGTAGTACTCACCAAATGGCGATGATTCATACATATACGTGGGTATAGACGTATAGTTACTGGCGTATCTATAGGGGATTAGAGAGCATTGATTTCTGGATGGTTGATCCAATTCATGTGGGTTCGAACCTTCATCCCGATTCTCCGATTCATTCTAGATTCGAAACTTTTTTTGTAGAGCCGATTTTGTAGTCTTCTTGGAATGGGACTTAGTCTTCAGAACGTGTACTCGTAGATCTTTTGCAATGATTTGGTTGGATGTTTTTGAAATGTAAGTGAAATTTACAATGAAATATCGTTCACACAAATATGTCGTCTCGAATAGATATTATAACGTTTTTTGTGTGTATTGTTAATAGTACCACGTAACAAATACACCCTGCTACGATATTTATTGTTATGAAGAACGATTTTGGCACATAACTACTCCTGCTCTCATATATATATATATATATATATGTATATGACAAAGGCTAGCGTACGCTGGATTAATGACACAAATATTGTTTTTTTTTTAATTTACCACCAATATGGCAACACCTGGGACTCAGGCGCCGCCGCTGTGGATGACATTTGGATCGTTTTATGTTAAGATACAGCGGCGGCGCCCAAGACTCAGGCGGCACCGCCTGAGACAGCAGCGTGTTAGGTAGGAAATTGTCCCAGGCGGCGGCGCCCGAGACTAAGGTGGCGCCGCCTGAGACATGAGTGAGTTAGGTGGCCACCCCCCTCCCTATATAAACCAGCCAATTTCGTTTCAGTTTCACACCAAAAAAAAAAATCGTCCAAAACAAAGGAGAGAGCTCTGGTTGCTGCTGCAAAAATGGCTAATAGGTAAGAGACACATTTATTTTTGTAATTATATTATTCAAATGCTATTATGATTGTGTTTAGTTTTAATTAGTGAGTCTGTTTTTTTGTAGTGATTTTAGAAGATTTGAACTAATCGTTCGATGGAAATCGGAGAAAGTAGAAGATAATTTGGGCGTCAAATTCGTTGGTGGTAGTAGTTTTCAGATGACGATTCCATCCAGGGTCACATATCATTATCTTTGTGAGAATCTAATTCCGAGAATACGGCGTAGAGATGAAGCAGTACAAGATAGTGATGTGATCACAGGTTTCACTTACCGTCTTCCAGAATGGCAGAATGGTGTTTTATTTCATTATGCAATGCCTATTGTGGATGATGATAGCTTGAATGTGCTTTGGAATTTTATGGCACAAAATCCTTATTGTTTGGGTGCTGAGATACATGTTGAGCTCAGTGAGGATCAGGGTGGAGAGGAAGAAGATGATACATGGAGCGTGCCATCCGATCATGCCTATGATGACGGTGATGACGGAGAGGAGGAAGATGAGGAGGAGGAGGAGGAGGAAGAGGGGGAAGGAGTGCCTAATTATCCTCCATATTTTTACTTGCAGGGTAATGAAGAGGACGAAGAATACTCAATTGTTGATTCATATGGCGTAATTCCAATGCCTATTGTTGATAGTTTTGAAGGAGAATTCTACAAGGGGCAGATATTTCACTCGAAACAAGCTGCACAGATGGCGATTAAACACCACGCACTACAACGCAACTTTCAATATGGCGTGGTGGAGTCGTCACCTTCAATCTGGAAGGTCAGATGCTTGAGGCACAAGGATGACAATTGTCCTTGGATGGTGCGGTTTGGATGTCGAGATGCCGGAGGCGAATGGAGTGTGAGAAAGGTTGAGTTGGTGCATTCTTGTAGCAGTACGACTCAACCGACGGATCATCGTCATCTTGATGTCGACATGATATCTGAGGCCGCCAAACATTTGGTACGTGCCCAACCAAATCTGAGTGTTCTAACTGTGCAAGCTGAGTTGAAAGATAAGTTTAATATTCAAGTTACTTACAAGAAGGCTTGGTATGGGAAACAAAGAGCATTGGAGAAGTTGCATGGAAATTGGGAAGAATCCTACGATTTTTTGCAGACATTCTTGCGGGTAGTCAAGAGAAAAATGCCAACATCGGTGATTGATTGGGTAAGAGTTCCTTCGACTCAACCAGGTCATTCGATATTTCAGCGAGTATTCTGGGCTTATGGACCTTGTATAGATGGATTCAAGAATTGTCCGGGCGTCATGGTTGTTGATGGAACATTTCTTACTGGGAAGTATAAAGGAGTGCTACTCATGGCGAGCTCATTTGATGGTCGGAAGAAAATTTTTCCAATTGCATTTGCCATAGTGGAGAGCGAGAATACTGAGAGTTGGCCATGGTTCATAAGGAACGTTCAGGGTTTGACTGATCGAAATGATGTATGCATCATCTCAGATAGACATGCAGGACTCTATGAAGCCATGAATAACATCGGAAGAGGTTGGGAGTGGAGGTGGTGCATGCGACACTATGCAAGCAATTTGCAAAGGAAGACTAAAAGCAGAATTATGTATAAGCAACTATTTCGAGTCGGTAAGCCTTCTTCATTTAATTATGTTATTTATTTTCATGTTATTTATTTTCATGTAATTTTGTCATGAATTTATCTAACCCGTGTGGTTGTTTATTTTGTTAGTTGGAGAAAAACGGTTGGAGAAGTTCGATCGTCAAGTTGAGCAATTTAAAAAGGTGGCCAGTGATAGAAATATTTCATGTGATAACTGGGTGGATCAACATCAGATTCATTGGAGTTTAGCACATGATAACTACAACGGTGGGCGTCGTTGGTCTATGCTGACATCCAACATGGCAGAAAGCATCAATGGTGTTTTCAAAGGTATTCGTGCACTTCCTATAGCTTCTCTTGTGCAACATACCTATTGGCGATTGGTGGAGAAATTCGATAAGTACAGGTTGGAGACAGGAGCAGAAATTAGAAGTGGTCCTTCACAGTACTCCACCAAGTGCGAAGAGCTGATGAAGTACAGGTCACAAAAGGCAGTTGGACATTCTGTGACAGCTCTTGATCGGAGTCAAGGCATCTATGTAGTTCTGACTCCCCCCAACAATTTCAACATGACGGGGTCAAACACACTCACAGTGCACTTTGACGACCAAAACCGGGAGGGATTTTGCACCTGTGGTAAATTTCAAGGAAATAAAATTCCTTGCTCTCATGCCATTGCAGCTTGCAACCGAATGGGGGCTAATGCGTATAGGTTTGTAAACAATGTCTACAAGCTGGAAACAGTGATGGCTTGTTATGGGACAAGTTTCGCACCTCTTGGTGAACCTAAGGGTTGGAAGAAGCATAATGGTCCTACTCTCCATCCTAATGTGCACATGCTTAGGAAGCCGGGGAGGCCACGAGTTACAAGGATTCACAACGAGATGGATTGGCCAAGGGAGGGTGCATCACACCAAGTGTGTAGCAACTGTAACCAAGCGGGACATAATGCATCAACCTGCGGTGGTCAAGCTAGTGGGAGTGGGAGCAACCGAAGAGGGAGTGGTGGCCAACCAAGTGCGAGAGGTGGTAGAAGAGGAAGTAGAGGTAATAGACGTGGCTGAGAAGTTTGTTCAAATGTAGTAGTTGTTGTATTTCCTTCGAATAATCATGTAGAAGTTGTTGTAGTTTGGTATGAAGTTGTTGTAGTTTGGTATGTAGTTGTTGTATTTCCTTCGAATAATCATGTAGAAGTTGTTGTTTGAAGTTGTTGTAGTTATGGTTTTTATCGTTAATAAAATAATAACATAATCCTATATAGTCCAAACATAATAGAAACTATATAATAATCCAAACATAATAGTCCACACATAATAGTCCACACATAATAGTGTAAAGGAAGTAGATAATAACAATCCAAAAATAAGCAAACTACATAATAGTCTCACTGGCGACCACGACGACGACCACCACGACGACCACCATGCTCCACCACTAGATGGCCGCCAGTACCACACCTCGCAGCCACCCTGTTACGCATAGGTCGACCATCATACGCCTGGGAATGATCTTCCTCGTCACCACCATCCTGATCCTGTGTACCGAACAGATCATCCTGCTGAGACTGAAGATGCTCCTCAGGCGCACCGCCACCATGCTGCTGAGACTGCAGATTCTACTCATAGTTGCACATCGTCTCCTGAAAAACGTGATCACCGTCTAGGCTGTCCCACAGGTTGGGAGTCGAGGCTGCTCTAGTATCACCACCTGAAGCCATGTTTCCGCCTCCCATCATAGTATGCTGCGGTGTATGGAAGCTATCCTCTAGCTGATAGAAGCTCGAGGAAGGATCTGACTGAAACTGCTGGCGAAGCGGCGGCTGAAAGCTCGAGTAGCAACCCCGGATGCCATAAAGTTGGCCAAGTCCTCACACTGGTCAGGGGTCAGCCCTCCAGCCCTCCCACCGTCACGCAAACTCACCTCAGCATGCTCGATAGTGTCGTACTAAAAAACACGAGAAAAATGTCAGATATTTCACACAGTTAACAACAAATTAAGCAAACAAATCAAATAACTAACCAATGCCTCCGCTACAACTCCTCTCCGTGTGCCGGAACGTCTGGTGACATCTCTATACCACTCCATATGCTCCGAGTGGTAGGCTAACTCCTCATCAGTGTATGAAGATGTCGCTACAAACTCGTGTCGACGGTTCCAAAAATCAAGCGACTCTCTGGAGGCGTGTACCAACTGCTGCCCACGCGATGGCCCACGAGTAGCCTGGCGAAGAAAAAACCTAACCTCACTCTCAGGATGTGGCTGATGAGGCTCATGCTGCCTCATGCCAAACTGCCGGAGCACGCGGTCTGGATGATGCCACATCACCGATGAAAAGCAGATAAGTGGCACTACTGCTCGAAATGTCTCAGACTGTATCACACTACCTCTGAGATGAAGTGCTCTCTCACGGTAAGGTTGCCACTACATAGCAAAAATTTAACGTTATTATCCCTAAATCTAAAAAAATAAAACAAATGAAAACTATTCTATAAAATGGAATGTTATGTACTAACCACCACGGTGTCCATCGCGTCAAACCACAGCTTGTACTGGAATAGCTGGTCACCATACTGACGACTGCTGGCCGAAAGCCATCGAAGACCACGTGGATGTGCATCCTCGGTGGCCTGTGCCCTCGTCTCTGAATCTCGAGGTGCCAGATGTGGGAATCGCTCCCACGCCCAGAACTGCAGTAGGGCGACCCATCAGCCAAGGTCACCGGCTAGAGAAGTGCCGGTATGCGAAATGTGCAAAGTCGACCTACCCATCTCACGGTACAGGTAGGATAAAACAGCAGCTCCCCAGGCGAACCCTCCAGCCCTCTCCCAATCCTCAATCAGAAGTAGGTACTGTAGGTGCACCGTAGATCAAGACCGATCCGGGAAAAGTACACCTCCAATCAGAGATAGAGCATAAGCTCGTGCAAACTGCTCTATAACCTCCTGTGATGCATCTTCCGGCAGATGACTGAATTCAACCCTCAGCCAAACAATCCTAACAACAGCGACCCCGCCTACAAGATCAACCGGAACCCGTCCTAACAGTCTCAAACAGATCGCCGACCACTCCTCATCCGGTATATCAACTACGACGGCATCACCGTCGATCGCCAAACCGGACAGTGTAACAACGTCCTCTAACGTGATCGTGATCTCACCACACGGTAGATGGAAGGTCGACGTCTCGGGTCGCCACCGCTCTACGAGCGCAGTAATCAAACTCGCATCGGGGTTCATAGGGACTAGGGGCACGACACTTAACAAGCCTGCCGCTTCGAGATATGGCCGATAAAGCTCACGATAAGGTACTAAAATGGTCGTACCTCAAACATGGTAAGATCGATCACCAGCCTATAGTGCACAAAACTTATATTAATTCATCTTCATTCGTAATAATTCTAATTTCACCTAATTAATTCTAATCTATCTAATCTAATATCAAATTATACTAATTAATTCTAATAGTACAGTTCAGTTCACCAACTAAAATAATCTAATTAGCTAATTAACTTTTTATGAATAATTATCAAATACTTACCTCGTTTGTCCAAACAGAGTCGATACGATGTTGGCCATGTCCCCAAAGAAGTGTCGCATCGACCGGACCTGTATCAATTGTCGCCGGCGGTAATCTCATCGAATAAGGATCCATAAGCCTAGGAACTGCAAAAACAAAGCAACAAACCATTAAAAAAAAAACACAAACCATTAAAAAAAATATTCAAGCCGCCGACGAGAGTCTCACCGCGCAAACGGCCTCCACGACCTCGCCGGCCTCTCCCCCTACCTCTGCCGGCGGCGACTTCTTCTTCATCGGAGGACATCTCCGGGCGGCGGCGCTGCTGCTGGCTGCGGCGGCGACGGACTCTGGGGCGGCGGCGGCAGGCACAGCGGCGGCGGGACCTGGCAGAGCGGCGGCGGCGCCTGGCACTGGGGCGGGCTCGCTCCTGGTGGGAGTAGCAGCGACGACGGAGAGAAGAGGAGGCTGGTCGGGAGAGGAAGGGCTGTGGGTGGGAGGGGAGGAGGAGGCTGGTCGGGAGAGGAAGGAAGGAGGGGTTGTGTGGAGGAGGAGGAAGGAAAGAAAATATAAGATAAGGCTGTGGGTGGGGGTCGGGTTTTTTAAAATAAAATGGAGTGGGGTGGGGGCGCCTTAGTCTCTGGCGCCAGCACCTAGGCCAGTTAGAAGAAAAACGGCTAAGGTGGGGGCGCCTTAGTCTAAGGCGCCAGCACCTAAAACTCTGTTAAAAACACAATATTTTCGTCAATACTATTTAATCCGCAATATTAGTGGTAATTTAAAAAAAAAACAATATTTGTGTCAATAATCCAGCGTACGCCCGGACGTACCCTAGCCTACCGTACGCCCGTTAAGTTTTGCTATTTAGACAATGAATTGACATGAGTTTGAGGCATGATACTATACCCTAACCCCTAATGGGTGAACCCCAGTCCAGGTTGTCCATTGAAACAGAGGAGTCGAGTTTTTCGCCCAATATCAATAGTCAACAAAAACGTTTGTTGTTGTAATAGTGTTACATTTCGCCCAATATCAATAGTCAACAAAAACGTTTGTTGTTGTAATAGTGTTACAAGAACATCTCGAAAAAACACATCGTATATTCGTATTAACCTAAGGGGCTGATGTTCGCCTCTTTCTTAACCCACAAACAAGACTCTGTGGCTTTCTTTCTTTGCTTTTGTTTCGATCTGTTTAATGCTCAGCTGCTGCTGCCGACACTGGAGGACTGTGCAGTTAGCCACCATTTTGGCTTTGGATTCGATTTGGTAGAGAGAGCTTTGAAGGAAGAACAACACATGTGGCGATCCTAGTCCATTCGCTGTGCTGTTCTGTGCATAGGTACGTTGACTACTCTACTCTGATGTTGCTTTTTGTTCATCTTTTTGGAGGTTCCTTGTCGTCCTTTATATCAATTTGGGGGGCAATTTTCTTGCTCTACTGTATTTTATTTTGTGTGATGGACTTTAAACCACTAGAAAGGAAAAATGAAGTACCATATGGTGAACATCCAATATGGACAGAAAGGATTTCACCTCAGTGTTTGGTAGATCAAAGAAAATCTTAAGAAGAAAAGGATTTCACCTCAGTTGGTTGAAGGTTTTAGTACTTACAAAAGGATGTACTACTTGCTAAATAGTAAATAGTCATGATATTTACAACCCATATGTCAGAAAGGGATCACATGTTATATAAGTGATCACAGGTTGCTTAGTCATCCGAAAAGACTTTATATACGATAATATATATATATATATATATATATATATATATATATATATATATATATATATATATATGGTGGCTTCTATCGTACCTTGGGTAAAATCTAGGGTACGACATGCCATGAGTAAAAAATGCTATCTAGACCTCGAATTAACCGGATTTTTGGACATGATACTGTACTCTAACCCTTGATGATTGAAACCTAGGTCTTAGAATTCTAAATCAAAGAGCCTAATCCCTAAGATTGTGCCTGTAATTTGTTGCATATATTTTGACAAATCATAGCCGTTGATTTTTGTTTCTAATTAAATTGATCTTAGTGTATGAGATTTATAAAACTAAGACCTAGATTTTAATCCTTAAGGGTTTGGGAATAATATCAGACGCCAAACTATGCTCAATTCGAGGTCTAGATATCATTTTTTTTACTCAAGCTATGTTGTACCCTTGATTTTACCCAAGGTACGATAGAATCACCCATATATATATATATATATATATATATATATATATATATATGGTGCCTTCTACGGTACCTCGGGTGAAATCCGGGGTACCGTATACCTTGAGTATGAAAACTCTATCTAGACCTCGAATTAACAGGAATTTTGAACCTGATACTATACCCTAACTCTTAATGAGTGAACCCTAGGTCCTAGTTATCTAAATCATAAACTATAAACCCTAAGACAGTGCATTCATTTTTTTGCCTATGTTTGGGCGAATCATAACCGTCCATAATTGTTTCTAATTAAATTGATCTTGGGGTATAAGATTTAGAAAAGTAAGGCCTAGATTGTGATCTTTAAGGGTTAGAGTATAATATCATGTCCGAAAATTCAATCAATTCACGGTCTAGATAGCGTTTTCATACTCAAGGTATGTGGTATCTTGGATTTCACCCAGGGTACCGTAGAACTCCCCATATATATATACACTAGTTTTGTGCTCGCCCGATGGGCGGCGAGTTTCGTATGTGTGTACTTTTTCTTCTATTATTTGTAATTTCTTTCAATAGTATCAAATTCCTACTTTTCATATTTATTTATTATTGTTATCTTTTATCCGTGTTTCATTTAATATAATCCAGGTTTTAATCATGATCAACAATAATGTCAAACAACGTTGTAACTTCATCACCGCTTGGAAAATAGTATTCATGACAATCTGATCTTTGATTCACCAATCATTTTCAACTTCATAAGTTGTACGTGGTTTAAGCTAGGATACGCCACCTTACCGTACTCCTATCGAGTTTTGCTATTTAGACCATGTATATATTAATGGAGTTTGGACATGATACTATACCATAGTCTCTAATGGGTGAACTTCAGTCTCTAATTCTCTAATTCAAATCTTACGATTCATTAATGCAAAAATAATAACCAACGATTCTTATTTGACAAAATATATTAAAGTACAACTAATAGATGTGAATGAAGGTGTATATTACACCTCGAGTGTTTGCTAGCCTTTTCTACTATTATATTAAAGTACAACCAAACTATGCTCCTATACTTCTATATTACCTTCAACATTTTATGAATGATATCAAAACAAAATGTTAGTTATAGAGACACTTTAGCTTCGCTTCACATTATCATCCAATATTAAATGTGTGATTGATTGTAACGGGAATTGTTTGATAATTTAATACAAATATAAAGGCGCTCTGTTGTGCAATCAGTAGAATAGATGAATTTACCGGACATCGATGAAGATATGATCCCGCGTTGCTTAGTCATCCGAAAAGACTTCATGTATGATAATATATATATGGCTTTCATTAAGTCTATTCAAAGAAAGGAAATATATATTTATGGACAGTAATATTCTTATTATTAGATCACTCAAAATGAGGGTACAAACCGATAATTACATAGACTGTTGAGAAGCACATTTATTTGACAAAGTAATAAAGTCGAACCCATTTAACATACGAGGAGATGAAAACAAAAAGCAGATAAGAATTGAACTTGATACCTCTTATCTATTAAACAGGGCCAATACTATAGTGCCGCGATTAAAAGTGCGGTATTGGTGACGCCAAATTTTATTGGTCCACGTGGGACGTGACATTAGTTGTCTTCTGTAGAGTATAGGCCCAACCCAAACTCGGTTAATTTCCCATCATCCGACCAGACCAAAGAATCTTTTATTGCTTTTTTTTCTTTTCTCTCTGTTAATCCTTTTATTTTTTTCCCTTATTCCCTTTCCCAGTTTGGGTTAATTGCATGGTTGGTCACTGAGATACAAAAAACGTTCATGTTTGGTCACTGGAAATATTTAAATCCAATCTTGGTCATTCAAATTAGTTAAATGATTCAAGTTTGATCACTCTCCGTTACCTTCCGTCAATCTCCGTTAACGCCGTCAATTTTTTGTTGACGTGGCTAACAGAAATGCCTAGTCACCCAATTTTAATCCAAAAAATTTAAAATTCAACGCGCCACGTCACTAAAAATTTCCACATCATATAACCACAACCTAACCCATACACTGACTTGTGAACCAACCCCCTCTCTCTTCCCCTCTACCCCCTCTCGCTACCTATATGCGTTTCGTCTTCCTTCTCGTGAAACTTGCTCCTGCTTCTCTTTCTCATACAGCAGCTCATGATCAGGCAATCGACGACGGATCCAACTTCATCGTCTAGAACCCCACCATCTTCGTTAGTGATATCCTCCCCAAGAACTTCAACCTCAACCCCTCCCAGTCAAATCAAACTCTAAACCCCCCACTTTCTGAACACCAAGAAAACGAAATTCAAAATTGAAAGCGCAGCCGTTGAACCAGCAAACTACACCAACCCCGGCGAGCTCCAATACGATTATATTCCTCGCCGACCAAGTAGCAACGGCAACCCACACTCCACATTGTATCAAATCGAAGAACCATAGCAAAAGATAGAGCGAGCGACGCGCTATTGGAGAGATAAGAGGTGGAAGAGGAGAAGAAAATGAGATCAGATTAATTAGATATGGAGATCCCAATT